GCGATCCGCAAGACGCCCCATCTATGGCATACTACTTTGGTATAAGGGCCGGAGACGCGGTTCGGCAGATCATCGGGACGGGCGCAACGAGCCGAGGGTTGCTCGCATCAGATGGAGAAAGCCATGAGCAGCACGAACTTCTTTGTCGACTTCACCTTGTTCAACGTTCTGGGGTATCTCGGTGGCGCGCACTGGATGGTTGCGTTCAGCGTTGCAACCTTTCTGGCGCTGATCACGCGTCACCTGCACAATCGCGCAATGCACCGGCCGGTGCGCGTGCGCTCGAGCCGGGAAAAACCGGACTTCAGCGCCCTGCCGGCCTTCCGCGACGACGCCGACCGGCGCGAACAGGAACGCCGCCGCCGCTGAAGCATCTTTGAACGAAGCCGCCCGCCCTTTGGGGCAGGTCGGCCAGTGTTTCACGTGAAGGGTTGCGCCTACTGCGCGACGAGGTTGCCGGCGGCCGTCTTGCCGGTCCGCTGGTCGGTGACCAGTTCGTAGGAGACCTTCTGGCCCTCCGACAGCGTCTCCATGCCCGAACGCTGCACGGCGGAGATGTGCACGAACACATCGTTGCCGCCCTCATCGGGCGCGATGAAGCCATAGCCCTTGGTGGTGTTGAACCATTTTACCGTTCCGCTCGCCATCGTCATGTCCTTTCAAGACGGTCTGCATAGGGGTGGCGGGCAAGCCCGCCGTTGGTCATCGATGTCTGGGGAAAGGACTAGGCGTGTCGCTTCTTTTTGCGCGGCGGTTAGGCTGTTTCCGATCGGCCGAAACTCTCGATAGAACCAAATCATGAACACAGCTTTGTTGCGGTTTCAAGACGAATCGCGTCCTGCCCGCATCGCTGAGCGGTCGATCGCGCTTGACTTTGTTGCGCCGCACGCCGATATGCGCGGTATCGGAGTTGGCTGCCGCGTGAGCAGCCGCAGGCGACATGGATCGCCTCCGGGGCTTTCAGCCGCAACTTCCGTGATACGCCGCGCGCCATGATGGCACGTTGAACAAGGCGGCGCATTGTCCACCAGGTTTCCCAATTCACGCGGGGGTACTGCCGGTCAGGCGGCTTTGACGGCATTCGGCCGGAAGCGAGCCTTGGCTGCAACCGATCCGCGGCGACGCCTGCCATTCCGGCTGGCCGACCCTTCATGCACATCTTCATGGCGGCCCCGTGCGGGCCGCTGCCACGAAAGGCAAAATTCTTGACGCAATTTTCTAAGCTGGGCCTTGCGCCCGTCATCTGCAAGACGCTCGAAAAGCTCGAGCTGACGATACCGACGCCGATCCAGGCGCAGGCCATTCCGCATCTTCTGGAAGGCCGCGACCTGATGGGCCTCGCCCAGACCGGCACCGGCAAGACGGCGGCGTTCAGCCTGCCGCTCATCCACCGTCTGATCCCGGTCGGCTCGCGCCCCGAGCCGCGCACCGCCCGTGCCCTGGTGCTGGCGCCGACGCGCGAACTGGCCAACCAGATCGGCACCAATGTGCGCGGCTTCCTGCGCGACACGCACCTGCGTGTCGAGACGGTGGTCGGCGGCGCGTCCATCCGCGCCCAGGCCCACAAGCTCTCGCGCGGCACCGACATTCTGATCGCCACGCCCGGTCGCCTGCTCGATCTGGTCGACCGAAAGGCGATCCGTCTCGACCAGGTCCAGTATCTGGTCCTCGACGAGGCCGACCAGATGCTCGATCTGGGCTTCATCAAACCGCTTCAGCAGATCGCCAAGCTGGTCTCGCCCAAGCGGCAGACGCTTCTGTTTTCGGCGACCATGCCCAAGCAGATGAATACGCTCGCCGCGACCTACCTGAACGATCCGGTGCGCGTCGAGGTGTCGCCGCCCGGCAAGCCCGCCGACAAGGTGCGCCAGAGCGTCCACCATGTCGCCCAGGCCGGCAAGGTCGCGCTTCTGAGCGATCTTTTGGCCGCCGAACCGGGTTCGCTGTCGCTGGTCTTCGCCCGCACCAAGCACGGTGCCGAAAAGCTCAAGAAGCAGCTTGTCGCCGCCGGGTTCGAGGCCGGATCCATCCACGGCAACAAGAGCCAGGGCCAGCGCGAGCGCGCCATCAAGGCGTTCCGCAACGGCGAGATCCGCGTCCTGGTCGCGACCGATGTGGCGGCGCGCGGTATCGACATCTCCGGCGTCACCCACGTCTTCAATTTCGATCTGCCCGAGGTGGCCGAGAACTATGTGCACCGCATCGGCCGCACGGCCCGCGCCGGCGCCGAGGGTGAGGCGGTCGCCTTTTGCGGACCGCACGAAACCCATCTGTTCGCCGATATCGAACGGCTGATCGGCCGTCCGATCCCGGTTGTCAGTGGCGAGCGGGCCAACGCCAGCGAAGCGCGACAAGCCAAGAAGGACGCCGGCGCGCGTCAGGGACAGCGCGGCCCGCGCCGCAACGGCGCCCGGGGCAAGCCCGGGGCCCATGCGCGCGGACAGGGCGATGGCGGCAAGCCCGCTGGCCGCGGCCCGATGCGCGGCAAGCCCGGCAAACCGTTCCGCGGTGGCAAGAGGACACGCCGCACCGCCACGGCAATGTGAACCGGGCCCGTCGCCAAACGAAAAGCCCGGCGCTAGCGCCGGGCTTTGTTGATTGATCAGGGACGCCTGCGTCAGGCGGCGTCGGCCTTGTCCAGTTCCGGATAGGGATTGAACCGCTGGTAGAAGGTCTCGCCGGTCTTGGCCATGTCGGTCAGAACGCGCGGCGGCTTGAACTGGGCCCCGTACTTCTTCTGAAGCTGCTTGGCGCGGGCGACGAAAGCCTCGGCCCCGATCCCGTCAATGTAGCTCAGCGTGCCGCCCGTATAGGGCGCAAAGCCGATCGCCAGGATCGAACCGACATCGGCCTCGCGCGGGTCGGTGACGATGCCTTCGCCCATCACGCGGGCCGCCTCGAGCGCGATCGTGTAGAGGAACCGCTCTTTGAGCTCCTCGAAATCGATCGCATCGGCGTCCTGTTGCGGATACATGTCCTTGAGCTCGGGCCACAGATGCTTTTTGGCGGGCTTTTCGGGGTAGTCGTAAAAGCCCTTGCCGTTCTTGCGTCCGAGCCGGCCATGGGTTTCGATCATCGTGTCGACCAGTTCGATATGGCGCGGGTCGACCGCCTTTTCGCCCAGGTCCCGCACGGTCTGCTTGAGGATCTTCTGCGAAAGGTCGATCGCCGTCTCGTCATTGAGCGACAGCGGGCCGACCGGCATGCCGGCCATCTTCGCCGCATTCTCGATCATCGCCGGCGGCACGCCCTCGATCAGCATGTTGTAGGCTTCGGACATGTAGCGCAGCACGCAGCGGTTCACATAGAAGCCGCGCGTGTCGTTGACGACGATCGGCGTCTTCTTGATGGCCCGGACATAGTCCATCGCCACCGCCAGCGCCTTGCCGGATGTCCGCTTGCCCATGATGATCTCGACCAGCATCATCTTGTCGACCGGCGAGAAGAAGTGGATGCCGATGAAGTTCTTCGGCCGCACCGAATTCTTCGCCAGATCGGTGATCGGAATGGTCGAGGTATTGGAGGCGAACACGGTCGTGCGCTTGATCACCGCCTCCGCCTGCTCGGTCGCGGCCTTCTTGACGCCGGAATCCTCGAACACCGCCTCGATGATCAGGTCGCAGCCGTCGAAGTCCGCATAATCGGCCGTCGGCGTGATCAGCGACAGCAGCTTGTCGGCATCGGCCTGCGTCGTCCGGCCCTTCTGCAGGGCGCTCTTCAAAAGCCCTTCGGAATGCGCCTTGCCCTTTTCGGCCGCTTCCATGTCGCGGTCGAGCAGGACAACGGGAATGCCGGCCTTGGCGGTGACGTAGGCGATGCCCGCGCCCATGAAGCCGGCGCCAAGGACGCCGATCTTCTTGAATTTGGTCGGCTTGACGTCATCGGGACGCCGCGCACCCTTGTTGAGTTCCTGCAGCGACACGAAGATCGAGCGCAGCATCGCGCCCGCTTCCCGCGATTGCAGAACCTGCGTGAAATAGCGCTGCTCGATAGTCAGCGCCGTGTCAAACGGCACCAGAAGCCCCTCATAGACGCATTTGAGGATCGCCGCGGCGCCCGGATAGTTCATGTGCGTCTCGCGGCGCAGGATGGCGGACGCCGCCGGCCACACATTGGCGCCGGCGGGTGAGTAAACCTTGCCGCCGGGCAGCTTGAAGCCCTTCTCGTCCCAGGGCTGGACTGGCTTGAGACCGTCCTTGATCATCGTCTTGGCCGCATCCACCAGCTTTTTGGGCGGCGCGACCTGGTCGATCAGACCCATCGCCTTGGCGCGCGCGGGTTTCAAATTCTGGCCCGTCGTCATCATCTGCAGCGCGTCCTGCTGGTTGGTCAGGCGTGGCACGCGCTGGGTGCCGCCGGCGCCCGGGAAGATGCCGATCTTGACCTCCGGCAGGGCGATCTTCACCGCGTCGCTGTCGGCAGCGACCCGGCCGTGGCAGGCGAGCGACAGTTCGAACGCGCCGCCCATGCAAACGCCGTTGATCGCCGACACCCAGGGCTTGCCGCAGGTCTCGATCTTGCGGAAGATCTGGCTCATCTTGCCGGCATTGTCGAACAAAAGCTGTGTTGCCGCTTCCGGGTTGCTGGCTTTCTCGGCCTCGTAGGCGTCGAACATCGCCTTGAGCATGGTGATGTCCGCACCGCCCGAAAACGCGTCCTTCTTGCCTGAGGTGAACACCACGCCCTTGACCGCTTCGTCGGCGGTTGTGGCATCGCAAATGGCGTCGAGCTCTTGCAGCACCTCGACGGTGAAGACATTCATCGACTTGTCCGGCATGTCCCAGGTGACAAGGGCGATGCCGTCGGCGTCGGTTTCGATGGTGAAATTGGTGTAGGTCATGTCTCGCTCCTTCAGACCGTTCCCTCGCCCTTCGAGGCTCGCTGCGCTCGCACCTCAGGATGAGGGAACGGTTCTTCGCGGCCGCAGCGTCGATTTCGCTTCACCCTCATCCTGAGGTACCGCCGAAGGCGGCCTCGAAGGGCGAGGGTGAAGCCAGGGTTCAAACCCGCTCGATGATCGTCGCCGTGCCCATGCCGGCGCCGATGCACAGCGTCACGAGCGCGGTGTTCAGATCGCGGCGTTCGAGTTCGTCGAGCACGGTGCCGAAGATCATCGCGCCCGTGGCCCCGAGCGGATGGCCCATGGCGATCGCGCCGCCGGCGACGTTCATCTTGCCGTGGTCGATGTCGAAGGCCTGCATGTAGCGCAGCACGACCGCGGCGAAGGCTTCGTTCAGCTCGAACAGGTCGATGTCGTCGAGCGTCATCCTGGCCTTTTTGAGCAGCTTCTCGGTAACGTCGACCGGGCCGGTCAGCATCAGCGTCGGGTCAGAGCCGATATTGGCGAACGCCTTGATCCTGGCGCGCGGCTCAAGGCCCATCATCTTGCCGCCCTTCTTCGAGCCGAGCAGAATACCCGCCGCGCCGTCGACAATGCCGGACGAATTGCCGGCATGGTGAACATAGTTGATGGCTTCGACCTCCGGATGGCCGGCAATGCCGACCGCCTCGAAGCCGCCCATCTGGCCGGGCATGACGAAGGACGGGTTGAGCTGGCCGAGCGACTGCATGTCCGTGCCCGGACGCATGTGCTCGTCATGATCGAGAATGGTCAGCCCGTTCTGGTCTTTCACCGGGATCACCGACTTCTTGAAATGGCCCTTCTCCCAGCTTTCGCCGGAACGCTTCTGGCTCTCGACGGCATAGGCATCCACATCGTCGCGGGAGAAGCCGTATTTGGTCGCGATCAGGTCGGCCGACACGCCCTGCGGCATGAAGTAGGCCGGGATGTTCACGGACGGGTCCATGTACCAGGCGCCGCCCGACGCGCCCATGCCGACGCGGCTCATCGATTCGACGCCGCCGGCGATGACGATGTCGTCGGCGCCCTGCGCGATCTTCGCCGCGCCGAAATTGATGGCGTCCAGGCCCGACGCGCAGAAGCGGTTGATCTGCATGCCCGGCGCCTCGGTCGCATAGCCTGCCTCGAAAACGGACGCGCGCGCGATGTCGCCGCCGGCCTCATAGACCGGATCGACGCAGCCGAAGATCACATCGTCGACCTTCGTCGTGTCCAGTTCGTTGCGGTCGCGCAGCGCTTCGAGCACCTTGGCGCCAAGGCGCGGCGTCGGCACTTCGTGCAGCGAGCCGTCCTTCTTGCCGCGGCCGCGCGGCGTGCGCACCGCATCGTAAACATAGGCGTCTGCCATCAGGTTTCTCCCGTCTTGTCTTGTGTCAGGCCGTTGCCGTTTCGGGCTCGCGGCCCGAGGGCATCAGGTCCTCGGAATGTTTGAAGCCGGGCAGCGCGCGGATGCGTGCCAGCCACGGTCCGATGTTGGTCAGTTCGTCATAGGTCACGCCGATCTGGCCGGGCCAGTGCAGATAGCCCTGGCAGGCAATGTCGGCGACGGTCGGCCGGTCGCCGACCAGCCAGTCCCTGCCGTCGAGCGCGGCGTTGAGCACCTTGAGCGCGCTCATCGCCCTGCCATGCATGAACTGTGTCTCGGGGCCTTCCTCGCGCCCCGCCATGTAGCGCAGGAATCGCAGCGGACCGGCCTGACCCGACAGTTTCTGGCTGTCGAACAGAAGCCAGCGCAAAACGTCATAGTCTTCGGCTTCGGTTTGCGGCCCGTAGGTGCCGAAATGCCTTGCCAGATAGGTCAGGCAGGCGCCCGATTGAGTCACCTTGAAATCGCCGCCGTCGCGGTGATGGACCAGCACCGGTACCTCGCCCATCACGTTCATGGCGCGGAATTCCGGGCGGCGCGTTTCTCCGGTCATGAAGGCGACGTGCTGGCAGCGCCAGTCGGCATCGTTGAGTTCCAGCATCAGCGCCACCTTGTAGGCGTTGCCGCTTTCCCAGAAGCCGTACAATGTGAAGTCAGCCACCGCGCACCTCCCCAGACCGTCTGCAATCCATGTGGTGTCGGCGGCGCCTCTATTGAAGCGCCACCGTACGGATTTCGATCAAAACGCTTCTTCCGGGATCGCCATCATCGAGTCGGCACCGGCCGAGATGCGGGCCAGGTGAGCCGACGATTCCGGCATGATGCGCTCGAAGAAATAGCGTGCCGTGACAAGCTTGTTTTCGAGGTAGCGCGCATCGCCATTGGCGCCGGCGGCGATCTTCTCCTGCGCCGCCTTGGCCTGCAGGCCCCAAATGTAGCCCAGCGCCACCAGCCCGAACAGGTGCATGTAGTCGTGCGACCCGGCACCGGCATTGTCCGGTTTGGCCATCGCGTTCTGGACGAACCACATGGTCGCCTGCTGCAGATCGTTCAGGCCCTTCTTCAAATGCTTGGTGAAGAAGGCCATCTGCTCGTCGTCGCGATTTTCCTCGCAGAAATCGCCGACTTCCTTGAAGAAGGCCTGCACGGCGCGGCCGCCATTTTGCGGCAGCTTGCGGCCGACAAGATCGAGCGCCTGGATGCCGTTGGCGCCCTCATAGATCATGGCGATGCGCGCATCGCGCACATACTGGCTCATGCCCCATTCCTCGACATAGCCGTGGCCGCCATACATTTGCTGAGCCATCACGGCGTGATCGAACCCCTTGTCGGTCAGAACGCCCTTGATGACCGGCGTCAGCAGCCCCATCATCTCCTCGTTCAGTTCGCGGTCCGCATCGTCCTCGGACCGGTGCGCCACATCGGACTTGAGCGCCGCCCACAAGATGAACGCGCGACCGGCCTCGTTGAAGGCGCGGATCGTCATCAGGTTGCGCCGCACGTCCGGGTGCACGATGATCGGATCGGCCTTCTTGTCGGGATATTTGGCGCCCGACAGCGCCCGGCCCTGCACGCGCTCCTTGGCGTAGTCGACCGCGTTCTGATAGGCGATCTCTGAGATGGCCAGGCCCTGCAGGCCGACGCCGAGCCGCGCTTCGTTCATCATCACGAACATCGCCTTGAGGCCCTTGTGCGCCTCGCCGACCAGATAGCCCGTGGCATCGTCATAGTTCATCACGCAGGTGGCATTGCCGTGAATGCCCATCTTTTCCTCGATCGAGCCGCAGGTGACGCCGTTGGCATCGCCCACCGAGCCGTCTTCACCGACCTTGTATTTGGGAACGATGAACAGCGAGATGCCTTTGACGCCCTCCGGCGCGCCCTCGATGCGGGCGAGCACCAGGTGGATGATGTTCTCGCTCATGTCGTGATCGCCGGCCGAGATGAAGATCTTCTGGCCCGAGATCTTGTAGCTGCCATCGTCCTGGGGCACGGCCTTGGTGCGCAGGAGACCCAGATCGGTGCCGCAATGGGGCTCGGTCAGGTTCATCGTGCCTGTCCAGACGCCCTCGACCATCTTGGGCAGATAGGTCTGCTTCTGCTCGTCCGATCCGTGCACCAGAATTGCGGCCATCGCACCCTGGGTCAGGCCGGGATACATCATCAGCGCCATGTTGGCCGAGGAGAAATATTCGCCGACCGCCGTATGCAGCGTGTAGGGCAGGCCCTGGCCGCCATACTCCTCGTCGAAGGCAAGGCCCATCCAGCCGCCTTCCTTGAACTGCTCGTAGGCGGCCTTGAAGCCTTCCGGCGTGGTGACCGAGCCATCCTCGTGACGCACGCAGCCTTGGCTGTCGCCGACCTGGTTGAGCGGGAAGAACACTTCCTCGGCGAACCGGGCCCCTTCGCGCAGAACCGCCTCGACGATGTCGGGCGATGCGTCGGCGAAGCCGGGCAGATTGTTGTAGCGCTCATATTTCAGAACGTCGTTGAGAACGAACAGCGTGTCTTCGACCGGGGCGCGGTAGCTTGGCATGGATTTCCTCCGCATCGCAAATATGATCGGCCGACCGGCAGGGCACGGCCAGCGTTCGGTCACGCCTAGCAAATTTTGACGTTTCCGTAAACGTCAAAATTGATGTCCGATTGTGCCGATTGACGATCGCCCGTTCTGCCACGCGCAACAAGCCCGCGCCGGGCGCAAGAGCGGTCGGGACTCGGTCTTTGTGAGGCTTGATCCGTGCCGAACGTCAGCGCGTGTCAGCGGCCGACAATCGCTGCGCGATATCGCTCATGGCCGATTGGAGTTCGCCGATCGCCGTATCGATGCCTGCGCGCTCACGGTGCAGGCGCTCCAGCTGCTCTCGCCCCTTTTCGGCCGCGAACCGCAACTGTCGGCGGTTGCCGTCCGACGGGTTGTAGAGCGCCAACATTTCCGCAATGTCCTGCAGCGAAAAGCCCAGACGCTTGCCCTTCAGGATCAGCGCCAGCCGCGCCCTGTCGCGGCGTGAGTACAACCGCGTATTGCCGATGCGGCGCGGTTGCAGAAGGTTCTTGTCTTCATAAAAGCGCAATGCGCGCAGCGTGACATCGAACTCGGCCGCCAGTTCGCCGATGCGATAGACCGTTTCGACGCCATCCGCCGTGGATATGTGCCCAGCATTGTTCATATGTGCACCCCGGATTCTTCGACGCCGGACGCAGCGGGTGAGGCTCGCGGCATCCGGTTGAGCCCCTGTTTGAAGAAGCGGTACCGCGCAGTGAAGGTTTCGCGCTGTTACGTCAGGGTTACATCACGGTCCGGCGATATCGACCACAGGTTGCATCGGGCCCAATCGGGCCGGGTTAACGCGTTGTTTACCACGTTGGTTAAAGAGTCGGTGACGCCGGTTCGCCTTTCCGTGTCTATGCGCGTCTTCCGGCGGTGTTCTTTATGGTGCCGTTCGGCGGCGGCCCGTTCTTTGAGGAAGCAGGCACTCCATGCGCGACCGCTACGATCAGGCCGAAAGCCGATTTGATTCAACTGGCACGCTTGAGCGCCTGCAGGATGCGCTGATCGCGCTCGAACAGCGCGTCGGACCTGCTCCCAAGGCGCCAGCCCGGTCGGCGCGCCCCGCCGTCGAACGCGACATTGCCGCCATCAGGGCGCGACGGAGCGAAGTCGAAGCGGGGCTTGGCAGGCGGCCCGAACGGCCGGCGCGCGACAGGCGCGCGGACGCGTTGCGCAACGAAATCGGCCGCTTGCGGAAAGACGTCAGCCGTGAAATGACCGCATCCGCCGGCGGGTTCGAGGCGCTGCGCGACGAGATGCGCGGCAAGCGCGCCGCGCAAGGATCGGCCTCACGCGCGACGGCGCTCCGTGCCGGCACGACCGTTTCCGACGAGGCCGGCGATCTGCGCGCCGAGATCGAGCAGCTCAAAAACGGCGTCGCCGCGCTCGCCCGCGAGGACACGCTGCGCGATCTGACCGAGCGCTGGACGGTCATCGAGCGTGAGATTGCCGCGCTTCCCGATTCGCTTGCCTCACGCGACGATCTGAGCGCCGTATCCGCCCGGCTCGAGGACATGCACGACAGGATCGGTGACCTGCCGCGCACCCTTCATCTCGACATGCTGGAAGAACATCTGCGCGCGCTGGCCGAGGCCGTCGAGCAGGTCGCCTTGCGCAGCGCGGCCGCGGTCCCCGCCGGAGTGGACGATCTCGACGCGCGGCTCGACGAGATCAGCCGTGCGATCGGCGCCATGGCGCCGGTGGCACCGGCCGGCCTCGACACCGGAGCGATCGAGCGGGTCGAGGCGCGCATCGCCGCGCTCGCCAACCAGATCGATGCCTATGCGCATGATCATCCGCCGGTCGATTATGATGATCGCTTCGAGGAACTGGCGGCACGCATCGACGGCTTGCGGCTCGGTGTCGCCCCCGGCACCGTGTCCGGCGAAGCGATGGACATGCTCAATGCGCGCATCGATTCGATCGCCGACAGCCTGGATGCCCTGGCTCGCGCTGAAACACTTGGCGACGGTCAGGCACGGTTCGCGGTTTCCGAACTCGATGAGCGCCTGGCGGCCATCGACGCGCAGATCAGGTCGGCCAACGCGCTTGCCGAGCGGTCTGCGGAGGACGTCGTCCGGTCCGTCGACGACCGCATGACCGAGATCGCCCGGCGGATCGACCAGAACGAGCAGGCCCAGCAGTCGGTTCCGTCCATCGCCCAGCTCGATCAGCGTCTCGACCAGATCGCCGCCATGCTCGCCAGCGGCAGCGGCTCGGCCGCCCCGGTCGACACCACCCATCTTGAAAGCCAGATCGCCGATCTGTCCGCCGCTCTTGCACGGGGCGGATCGACCTCCGTCGACGAGGAGCGCATCTGGACCGCGGCCCGCACGGCGGCCGAGGAGGTAGCGAGCCGCATGGTGGCGGCCTGAGCCGCCCGCCATCGTCGAGACCCTTCCGGACGAAGACGGCTCCGCCGAAGCGTCCGAAATCGCCGCATCGGAAACGACGCCCTCGCGCGACGTGCTCGCCGAGGCCGATGCCGCCGTCGAACCGGACGCGGCCGGCATGGCGGCGCCCGAACTTGCGGCCGCCGCGCCCGATCCGGTCGAAACCCCCGATGTCGAAGATGTCGAGACGGCTACGGTCACGTCGTTCGACGATCTGCCGGGCAATGTGGGGTCCGTGGCGCTGCGCGAAGCCGTAGCCGAGGGCGATGCGATGGCGCTCTATGTCGTCGGCGAGCGGCTGGCCGATGCCGCGCGCGGCGGCGACGGCGACCTTTCGGAGGCGCTCAAATGGTATGAACGCGCCGCCGAACTCGGTTTTGCGCCCGCCCAATACCGGACCGGCAATTTCTACGAGAAGGGCTTTGGCGCCGAGCGCGATTTCTCCACGGCCAAGACCTGGTACCAGCTTGCCGCCGAACAGGGCAACGCAAGCGCCATGCACAATCTGGCCGTCCTGTTCGCCAGCGGCGCCGACGGCCCGCCGGACTTCGATTCCGCCGCGCGCTGGTTCCTGCGTGCCGCCGAACTGGGCGTCCGCGACAGCCAGTTCAATCTCGGCATCCTGGCGGCCAAGGGCCAGGGCATGCCGCAGGATCTCGGCGAATCCTACAAATGGTTCGCGCTGGCCGCGCAGAGCGGCGACGAGGACGCCGCGGCCAAACGCGACGACATCGCCAACGTGCTGCGTCCCGACCAGCTTGAAACCGCACGCGGCGCAACCGCCCTTTGGCGCGCAAAGCCCATCGACGAAAGGGCCAACAGGGTCGATGTGCCGGAGGCCTGGCAGACCGGCGACACCGTGACGGCCGCCGCCGCCCCCATCTCCGACGAGGACATGCGCCGCGCCGTGGCCAACATCCAGGCGATCCTCAACGACAATGGCTATGATGCGGGCCCGGTTGACGGGCTGATGGGCCGGAAGACGCGTGATGCGATCATCGCCTTCCAGCGCGACAACGGCCTTCCGGCCACCGGAAACGTCGACCAGAGCCTGGTCGAGAACCTCCTGGCGCTGGCGCAGACCGAAAGCTGACCGCCCGTCAGCGCGCCGGCGCTTACCATGACCCGGCCTTCCGATTGACTCGCCACCATGCCCGGCGCATGACGGAGCGAGCCCCCGCCTTGTCGCGCGGTGCGGCCAACCCGTCCGCTCTGGAGTGAACCGTGGCGCTGTATCTGCCGATCGCCGAAATGTCCGTGAACATTCTTGTTCTTTTGGGCATGGGTGCGGCGGTCGGCTTCCTGTCGGGCATGTTCGGCGTCGGCGGCGGCTTTCTGATCACGCCGCTCCTCATCTTCTACAATATCCCTCCTGCCGTGGCGGTCGCCACCGGCGCCAACCAGATCGTCGCCTCCTCGGTCTCCGGCGTCCTGTCGCATCTCAAGCGCGGCGGCGTCGACTTCAAGCTGGGCGCGGTGCTTCTCGCCGGCGGCCTGATCGGATCGACGATGGGCGTCTACGTCTACTCCTTGCTGCGCGGCATTGGCCAGCTCGATCTGATCGTCTCCATCCTCTACGTCGTCTTCCTGGGCACGGTCGGTGGCCTGATGCTGTTCGAGAGCGTCAGGGCGCTGCGCCGCGCGCGCTCGGGCGAGGTGGTGTCGCTGCGCCGGCCGGGCCAGCACACCTGGGTGCACAAACTGCCATTCAAGATGCGGTTCAAGACATCGCGGCTCTATGTCAGCGTCATCCCGGTGCTCGGCCTTGGCGCGGTGATCGGCATGCTGGCGGCAATCATGGGCGTCGGCGGCGGCTTCATCATGGTGCCGGCCATGATCTACCTGCTCAAGGTGCCGACCAATGTCGTCATCGGCACCTCGCTGTTCCAGATCATCTTCGTGGCCGCCTATACGACCGTCGTCCAGGCGGTGACCAACCAGACCGTCGACGTGATGCTGGCGCTGCTGCTGATGATCGGCGGCGTCGCCGGCGCGCAATATGGCGCCCGTGCCGGCCAGCGCCTGCGCGGCGAGCAGCTGCGCGCCATGCTCGCCATTCTGGTTCTCTTGGTGGCGCTGCGTCTGGCCTATACGCTCTTCATCGTCCCCGACGAACTGTTCACGCTGACCGTCGGCGGGGTGCTTTGAGATGGGCCTGCGCCGCGCCGTCATCCTCGTCGCCCTCGCAGCCGGGCTGACCGGCACTCCGGCAGCGGCGCAGGAAACGGCGCCGGTCGGCGACACCGATGCGGCGGCCGCGGCCAACGCCGCCGAGCAGGCGCGGGTGCCCGAGCGCATCGAGATCGGCCTGTCGACCGAAACCGTCGCCATCACCTCCGATTTCACCGGTCAGGCCCTGACGATCTTCGGCGCGATCGACAATGTCGATCCGCTCGTCCACCGGCAGGGCCGCTACGACATCTTCGTTATCCTGGAAGGACCGCGATCGGAGCTGGTCGCGCGCCGCAAGGACCGCGTGTTCGGCATCTGGATGAATGTCGAAAGCCAGTCCTTCGACAACACGCCGCAATCCTATCTGATCGCGTCGACCCGGCTGGCGCGCGACATCACGAGCCTGGACACGCTGGCACGTCTTTCGCTCGGCGTCGGACAGATCCGCGTCCAGCCGCACCCCGACAAGAAACAGGCCCGCGAAGTCGAGCAGTTCACCTCTGCCTTGAGGCGCCTCAAACGCGGTGACGGTCTTTATCAAGAGTTTCCCGGCGGCGTGCGGTTCATCTCGCAATCGCTGTTCCGCGCCGAGTTGGCCCTGCCGGCCAACGTTCCGCTCGGCCAGCACCGCGCCCGCGCCTATCTGTTCCGCAACGGCGAGCTGGTGGGCCAGACCGAGGCGCCGCTGCGCATCGCCAAGGCCGGTTTCGAGTATGCCGTGTCCGACTTTGCCCGAACCCAGTCGCTCTATTATGGTCTGACCTCGGTGCTGCTGGCCCTGTTCGTCGGCTGGCTGGGCCGCATCGTCTTCAGGAAGGACTGACCATGGTCGAGGACGAGGATGCCGAACAGATCGCCAGCCGCGCCCCGTTCATGCTGGCGCTTCTGGGTTTTGTGCCGTTCGCCGTCCTGACCGGCGCGCAGTTCGTGCCAGGCGCGACCCTGGCCCATACGCTCGGCCTGACCGCGCTCAACGTCTATGCGGCGATCATATTGTCGTTTCTGGGCGGCATTCGCTGGGGCATGGTGGTCAATGCGCCCGATCAGCGGGCCGTCATTCCCGTCTTCCTTCTGTCGGTCGTTCCATCGCTCTGGGCCTGGGCGGCGTTTTTCGCGCCCGGCCCATGGGGCTTCGTCATGTATGCGATCGGCTTTGCGGCCATGGGCTGGTGGGATCGTGCGCTGGTCGCGCGCGGCGAAGCGCCGGCCTGGTTCGGCCTGTTGCGGGTGACGCTGACGCTGCTCGTCGCGCCGACGATGCTGCTGGCGGCGCTGTCGCGGATCATCTGAAACCGGTCAGCCGATCAGGTCGCGCCATCCGATCGGATAGATGCGGTCTGTGCCCTGCATGTAGGCGCGGAAGGCGCCGAGATCGAAAAGGCCGGCAAGCGCCCTGTCGCGCACGTTCAGCCCGCCCGTATAGACGCCGAAGGCCGGCATGATCAGCCGCGCGCCGTCCGACGCGAAACAGGACCGGCGCACCGTCTTGCCGCGCCCGCGCAGGATCGCCGCCGGATGGTAATGGCCCGACACTTCGCAGCCGGGATGGCCGTGTTGCGCGATGTGGCGGAAGGTGATCGCGCCGGCGGCCAGACTGTCGACGCTGTCGCCCGGCATGTTCGCCGGCGGCGACGGGTCGTGATTGCCGGTCACCCAGATCATGGTGCGCCCGCAGGCCAGCGCCTCGATCGCGTTCGCCGTGTCCGCAGACAGGCGTTCGCTGGCTTCGTCGTCGTGAAAGCTGTCGCCCAGGCTGACGATGATGGCCGGCTCGTATTTGGCGACCAGCGCGGCAAGCCGGGCCAACGTCGCCGGCGTGTCATAGGGCGGCAGGAAGATGCGCCGCCGCGCGAACGACGCTCCTTTTTCAAGATGCAGATCGGACACGACAAGCATCCGCGTGTCCGGAAAAAAGGCGATGCCCGCCGGATCGAGCAGCACGCGCTCGCCGCCGAAATCGATCGTCAGCGCCTCGCCGGCCTGCATCATCTGCGGTGTTTTCAGGGCCGGTCGCATCAGTCCAGCATGTCCTCGCCCATCGCCTCGCGCACCAGCGCCTCGGTTGCCAACGCCTTTTCGGCCATCAGCGCGTCGCCGGTTTCCGAACTGATCACCGGCTCCTTGCCGATCTCCAGCATCACCGGCACCGCCAGCGGCGAAATCCGGTCCAGCCCCTTATGCACGATTCGCCCCTTGATGCGAGCCAGCAGCGCGTTCACCCGGCCGACATCGAGATAGCCGGCCCGCGCATCGTTGCGGGTTGCCTGCAGCAGGATGTGGTCCGGCTCGTGCGTGCGCAGCACGTCGTAGATCAGGTCGGTCGAGACGGTGACCTGCCGGCCGGTCTTCTCCTTGCCCGGATGGCGCTTGTCGATCAGCCCGGCGATCAGCGCGCAATAGCGGAACGAGCGCTTGAAGACGAAACTCTCGTCGAGCCAGGCCTCCAGATCGTCGCCCAGCATGTCCTGCGCGAACAATTCGGTCAGCGACAGGTCGCCCCGTCCTATCATCGCACCCATGTCTTTCAGGCCCCAGATCGCCACGGCATAGTCGGAGGCGACGAAGCCGATCGGCCGCGCCTTGGCGCGTTCCAGCCGCCGCGTCAGCAGCATGCACAGCGTCTGGTGCGCAAGCCGCCCCTCGAACGGGTAGGCGACCATGTAGAAGCGCTCGCCGCGGGGAAAGGTCTCGACCAGCATGTCGTCGGCGCCGGGCACCACCGAATTCTGCTTCTGGTAGCCGAGCCATTCGGAGACCTGCGGGGGCAGCCGATGCCATTGCGCCGGGTCGGCCAGCATCTTGCGCACCTGGGCCGACAGATAGGTCGTGGTCGGGAATTTGCCGCCCATATAGGCGGGCACTTTTGCTTCAAGGGTCGGCGCGTTGGAGGCAAACGCCTCGCTCTCGCGGATGCCCTCGAAGCGCAGTACTTTGCCGGCAAACAGGAACGTGTCGCCATAGACAAGCTGTTCGAGAAAGATCTCCTCGATCTTGCCGAGCACGCGCCCGCCGCGCCCCTTGCCGCCGGCACCCGGCCGCACCAGCCGCACGGTCAGCTCCGGCGCGGCGACGATGGTGCCGGCGTTCAGCCGGTATTGCTGGGCGATGGCCGGGTGCGCGATGCGCCAAGTGCCGTCTTTCGTCTGCTTGATCTTGGCATAGCGCTCATAGGATTGCAGCGCATAGCCGCCATGGGCGACGAAATGGACGCAACGGTCGAAGGTCCGACGGTCGAGGTCCGCATAAGGCGCAGCGCCCGTCACTTCGGCATAAAGAGCGTCGGCATCGAACGGCGCCGAACATGCCATGCCCAGAATATGCTGGCACAGAACGTCGAGCGCGCCCGGCTCGATCGGCGGCGTGTCCTGCGCGCCCAGATAGTTGGCATCGAGCGCGGCCTGGCATTCCATCACCTCGAACCGGTTGGCCGGCACGAGGATTGCCTTGGACGGTTCGTCCATCCGGTGGTTGGCGCGGCCGATCCGCTGCGCCAGCCGGCTGGCGCCCTTGGGCGAACCGACATGGACGACCAGATCGACATCGCCCCAGTCGATGCCCAGATCGAGCGTCGAGGTGGCGACGACCGCGCGCAGCGCGCTCTGGCCCATCGCCGCTTCGACGCGCCGCCTTTGCCCGACATCGAGGGAACCGTGATGCAAGGCGATCGGCAGGCTGTCCTCGTTCAGCGTCCACAACGCCTGGAAGATCAGCTCGGCCTGGCTGCGCGTATTGACGAAGATCAGCGTCGTGCCGTGCGCCTTGATCGCCTCATAGACGTCCGGCAGCGCATAGCGCGCCGAATGGCCGGACCAGGGAATGCGGTCGTCGGACTTCAAAATGGTGATCTCGGGCGTCGCCCCGCCATCGACGGTGATCAGTTCGGACAGGGCGTCCGCGCCGGAGGCCTGCCGCACCAGCCACCGCCGCAACTCGTCCGGTTCGGCCACCGTCGCCGAAAGGCCGATCGTCTGGAGTTCCGGTTGCAGCATCCGCAATCGCGCCAGACCGAGCGAAAGCAACTGCCCGCGCTTGGAGGTAACCAGCGAATGCAACTCGTCGAAGATCACATAGCGCAGATCGGCAAAGAACCGGTCGGCATCCTTGTGCGACAACAGCAGCGCCACCTGTTCGGGCGTTGTCAGCAAGATGTCGGGCGGCGCCAGCTTCTGGCGCTGGCGCTTGGAGGCGGGCGTGTCGCCGGTGCGGGTTTCGATGGTGACCGGCAGGTCCATCTCGCCCACGGGCACGCCGAGATTGCGTTCGATATCGACGGCGAGCGCCTTCAGCGGCGAGATATAGAGCGTGTGGACGCCCGGTCTGATCGAGCCCGGCTTCGGCTTGCCGCGCCGCGCCAGATCGGTCAGCGCGGGCAGGAACCCGGCCAGCGTCTTGCCGGCGCCGGTCGGCGCGATCAAAAGCGTCGACAGCCCCGCCTCGGCCTTGGCCAGAAGCTCCAATTGATGCGCGCGCGGCTGCCAGCCCTTGGTCGCGAACCAGTCGACGAACGGTCTGGGCAGGGCAAACATGTCGGCCTGCTCCGGCCGCGATGTGTCGATGACGCTCATTGGAGGGGAGATTAGCGTTCCCGAAAAGTTCTGCAATGCGCCTTGCGTGAAAAAGGTCGGCATCTATCTTGCGGAGCATGAAACCCGACAAGCTGCTGCACCCGACCGACAAGGGGCTCTATTGCCCGCCGGGCGACTTTTTCATCGACCCGGTCAAGCCGGTCGATCGTGCGCTGATCACCCATGGCCATGCCGACCATGCCCGCGCCGGCCACGCCCATGTGATGGCGACGCGTGAAACGCTCGACATTATGGGCATTCGCTACGGGGAGGATTTCGCCGGCGCGACCCAAGAGGCGACGCTCGGCAATACGGTTACCATCAACGGCGTCACCGTCTCGTTCCACCCGGCCGGTCATGTGTTGGGATCGGCGCAGATCGCCGTCGAGGCCGGTGGCACCCGCATCGTCGCCTCGGGCGACTACAAGCGCCGCGCCGATCCCACTTGCGCGGGCTTCGAAGTGGTGCCCTGCGATGTCTTCATCACCGAAGCGACCTTCGGGCTGCCGGTCTTCATCCATCCCGACGATGGCGGCGAGATCGCGCGGCTGCTCGACAGCGTCGCGCGCTTCCCTGAGCGGGCGCATCTGGTCGGCGCCTACGCGCTCGGCAAGGCGCAGCGGGTCATCGCGCTGATCCGCAAGGCCGGATACGCCGAGACCATCTTCATTCACGGCGCGATGGAAAAGCTCTGCACCTACTATCGGAGGCAGGGAATCGATCTCGGTCCGTTGGCGCCGGCGACCATCGACAAGGGCGCCAGGGACCAGTTTGCCGGCAAGATCATTGTCGGGCCGCCCTCGGCCTTCGCCGACAAATGGGCGCGGCGCTTTCCCGACCCGGTGGCCTGCTTCGCCTCGGGCTGGATGCGCGTGCGCCAGCGGGCCAAGCAGCGCGGCGTCGAACTGCCGCTGATCCTGTCGGATCATTCGGACTGGGACGAACTGACCCAGACCATCCGGGATACCGGCGCCTCCGAGGTCTGGGTGACCCATGGCCGCGAGGAGGCGCTGGTACGCTGGTGCGAACTGTCGCAGATCAGGGCCAAACCGCTCAATCTGGTCGGCTATGAGGACGAGGCGGAGTGATGGTTCGGCTTTCCCCCACCCTTCATCCCTCCCCACAAGGGGGAGGGAAGACAGGAGCACCGCATCGGTCGGACCGATATTCGGTCCAGGCTCGAATTGTGAGCCAATGTGGCGGTATGTCGAAGTCTTCCCTCCCCCTTGCGGGGAGGGATGAAGGGTGGGGGTTATTGCCATGAAACCCTTCGCCGCCCTCCTCGACGCCCTTGTTCTCACGCCATCGCGCAACGCCAAGCTCCGGCTGATCGTCGATTACATAGCCGCGACCCCCGATCCCGATCGCGGCTATGCGATCGCCGCCATCACCCGCGATCTCGACATTCCCTCGGTCAAGCCGGCGATGATCCGCGCGCTGGTCGAGGCGCGGGTCGATCCGGTCCTGTTCGGCTATTCCTACGATTTCGTCGGCGACCTGGCCGAGACGGTGTCCCTGATCTGGCCGGCTGAGGAAGAGCGCCCGTCACCCTCCCCCTTGAGGGGAGGGTCGATGCGCAGCGTCGGGGTGGGGGTAAGCGATGGTGAAGAACCCCCACCCGGTTCGGCTCACTTGCGCGATCCTCACCGACCTCCCCTCAAGGGGGAGGTGAAGAATGCGGACCTCCCCCTCGCCACCATCGTCGAAACCCTCCAAATCTCCTCCCGCTCGGACGGGCCGCGGCTGGTCGAGCGCTGGCTCGACGCGCTCGATCCGCCCGGCCGTTACGCGCTGTTGAAGCTGATCACCGGCGGCATGCGCATCGGCGTTTCGTCGAGGCTGGTCAAGCAGGCGCTGGCCGATTTCGGCGGTAAGGACGTCACCGAGATCGAGGAACTCTGGCACGGGCTCGCCATCCCCTATACGAACCTGTTCGCATGGCTCGACGGCACCGGACCCAAGCCCGAAAGCGCCGCCGCCGCGCCGTTCCGGCCCGTCATGTTGGCCAACCCGGCCGATACCGAAGACCTCGCCCGCTACGATCCGGCCGACTATTGCGCCGAATGGAAATGGGACGGCATCCGCGTGCAGGCGACCGCCGAAAAGGGCGTCGCGCGCATCTATTCGCGCACCGGCGACGACATTTCCCGCTCTTTTCCCGATCTTCTTGCCGCGATGGATTTCGAAGGCTCGATCGACGGCGAACTGCTAGTCGGCCATTTCGAGGATGGCGCGATCCGCCCCGGCACGTTCGGCGATCTCCAGCAGCGCCTCAACCGAAAGACCGTCTCGGCCAAACAGCAGGCGAAATTCCCGGCCTTCGTGCGCGCTTACGATCTTCTGCAGGAGGGCGGGGACGATTTGCGGCCGCTGCCGTTCGAGACCCGCCGCGCCCGGCTTGAAGCCTTTGTCGCTACGTTGCCGGCCGACCGGTTCGACCTGTCGCCGCTCGTGCCGTTCAAGATCTGGGAGGAGGTCGCGGCAAAGCGCAACGCGCCGCCGGCCCCGATCATCGAGGGATTGATGCTCAAGCGCCGGGACAGCATCTACGTCCCTGGCCGGCCCAAGGGGCCATGGTTCAAGTTCAAGCGCGATCCGTTCCTGATCGATGCGGTGCTGATGTATGCGCAGCGCGGCCACGGCAAGCGGTCGAGCTTTTATTCCGACTATACGTTCGGCGTCTGGACCGGCGAAGCCGACGACCCCGCGCTCGTGCCGGTCGGCAAGGCCTATTTCGGCTTCACCGACGAGGAACTCAAACAGATCGACAAGTTCGTGCGCGACAACACGGTTGAGCGTTTCGGCCCGGTGCGGTCGGTGCGCGCCGAGCCCGATCACGGGCTGGTGCTGGAAGTCGCATTCGAGGGATTGAACCGCTCGACACGCCACAAATCCGGCGTCGCCATGCGCTTTCCGCGCATCTCGCGCCTCAGATGGGACAAGCCGCCCTTCGAGGCCGACCGGCTCGAAACGCTTGAAGCGATGCTCGACTGACGCCCTTGCGGTTGCCGCATTTGCCGCTTAGGTCCGCTCTCGAACAACGGAGCACGGGCGCATGAACACACGTCAGCTTCTCGGCGACACGGTCGGTCGCACCGTCATCAAGCTGGTGGTGGTGTCGTTGCTCGTCGGCGCGGTGATGAACGTCTTCGGCCTCGCGCCGCTCGACATCTGGTGGGGCCTGCGCGACTTCGCCGTCAATCTGTGGCAAAGCGGCTGGGCGGCGCTCGGCCGTTTCGGCGACTGGCTGATCCTCGGCGCCAGCATCGTCATTCCACTCTTTATCCTCGCGCGGCTTCTGAGCTACCGGTCGGAACGCTGAACGAAAACTCGTCGGCGACATGGTGCAGCAGCGCATGCCGGCGTGCCAGCGCGTCGACATCGCGCGAATAGCCGCCGCCGATCACGCCACATACGGGAATGCCGCGCATGCGAAAATGGCTGATCACCATCCGTTCGCGCCGCTCGATGCCATGGTTCGTCAGCGCCAGCCGGCCCAGCCGGTCCTCGCCATGCACGTCGACGCCGGCATTGTAGAAGACGATATCCGGTGAAGGCACACGGCCGCGCAGCTCTTCAAGCGCCAGCGCCAGCGTTTTGAGATAGGCTGAATCGCCGACTCCGTCCGGCAGGCCGAGGTCGAAGTCGGAGGCCTTCTTGCGAACCGGATAGTTTTTCTCGGCATGGATCGATGCGGTGAAGACGCGTGCGTCGGCGGCGAAGATCTCCGCCGTGCCGTCGCCCTGGTGAACGTCGAGATCGAGCACCAGCGCGCTGGAAACCTCGCCGTCGGCAAGCAGCAGCCGCGCGGCGACCGCGACATCGTTGAAGGTGCAGAAGCCGGCGCCCTGCGCGTGGCGGGCATGATGGCTGCCGCCCGCCGTGTTGCAGGCAATGCCGTGTTCCAGCGCCAACCGCGCCGCCATCACCGTGCCGGTCGTTGCGCATTGCGCGCGCAGCGAGGTGCGTTTCGTCACCTCGAAACCGATCTCGCGTTCGATCGCGCGCGGCACGTCGAACGCATAGACCTGATCCACGTAAGTGTCGTCATGGGCCAGCTTGACCCAGTCGCGCGGCGCCGGCGCGGGCACGATGAAGGTGCCGGGCGCGGCCAGCCCGTCCTCGATGAGCACTTCGGCCAGCCGCGCATATTTGCCCATCGGAAACCGGTGCTCGGGATCGAACAGCGCGTCATAGGCGGGATTGTGCAGGATCGGCAGCGGCATTGTTCCGCAGGTAAGCATCGCATGGCCGAAGTCAAACTGTCGGCAGCCTTGTCACCGATACAATTGTCGGCTTGTCCGGCAGCATCCCATCGGGCAGGGCATGGCAATGTCCGCACTTGATCCGGCCCGGAGCAAAGACGCCTCGGAATTCGAGGTCACAAATCGCATGGTGTTCGCCATCGCCGTGCCGATGACGCTCGCCTATCTGACGACGCCACTGCTCGGCATTGTCGACACGGCGGTGGTCGGCCAGTTCGGCGACGCAGCGCTCATCGGCGGCCTGGCGATCGGCGCCATCCTGTTCGATGTCGTCTTCATCATGTTCAATTTTCTGCGCATGGGCACGACCGGTCTCGTCGCCCAGGCGGTCGGGCGCGGCGACGCAACCGAGCAGCAGGCCGTCTTCTGGCGCGCGGTGCTGATCGCACTCGTCGGCGGGCTGCTTCTGCTGCCGCTCGCGCCGGTCATCCGCGACGTCGGCCTGTGGTTCATGGCGCCGGGCGATGCAGTGGCCGAGGCAACGCGCACCTATGTGACGATCCGCTTCCTCGCCGCGCCGTTCACTTTGGTCAACTATGCGGTCCTTGGCCTGCTGCTGGGACAGGCGCGGGCCGTCGCGGCGCTGATCGTTCAGTCGCTGATCAACGGCATCAACATCGTCCTGTCGATCGCGCTCGGCCTCTGGCTGGAATGGAACGTTGCCGGCGTCGCCTGGGCGACCGTCATCGGCGAAAGTGTCGTCGCCATCGGCGCCCTCGTCTGGCTGTGGCGCGGCTTCGACAGGCGCCATGCCCCGTCCCGGGCGCGCATCCTCGACCGGCCGTCCTTCCTCGCGCTGATCGTCCTCAACCGCGACATCATGATCCGCTCCTTCGCCCTGGTCGCCAGTTTCGCGCTGTTCACGCGCATCGGCGCGCAGTTCGGCGCGGTCACGCTGGCGGCCAACGCAATCCTGATGAATTTCTTCTTCATCGCCGGTTACTATCTGGACGGTTTCGCCGTTGCCGCCGAACAGCTGGTCGGGCGCGCCGTCGGCGGCCGCCATCCGAAGCCGTTCTGGCGCGCTGTCCGGCTGACGGCGTTTTGGGGGTTCGTGCTGGCCGGCTTCACGACGCTGGTCGTGCTGGTGGCCGGCAACTGGTTCATCGAGATCATGACCACGGCCCAAGAGGTGCGGGCCGAGGCGCGCATCTTCCTTGTCTGGGCGGCCTTTACCGCCATCGCCGGCGTCCTCGCCTTCCAGATGGACGGCGTCTATATCGGCGCGACATGGTCGGTCGACATGCGCAACATGATGCTGCTGTCGCTGGCCGTCTTCATCGCCGCCGGCTACGGGCTGACGCCGGTCTTCGGCAATCACGGTCTGTGGTTCGCGCTCAACCTGTTTCTGGGCCTGCGCGGGTTGACGCTGCTGGCGATCCTGCCGTCGCGCGCGCGGCGCGTCTTCGGCTGAACCTATTGCGGCGGGATCGGTTTCGACGCCCAGTCCTCGACCTTGAGATCGCGCAGATCGCCGATCCGGTCGGCGCCGCGCGCGTCGAGTGCGTCCGAAAGGCCTGCGCAGATGCGCCCGGCGATCGTCGGACCGCGATAGATCATGCCCGTATAGAGCTGCACCAGATCGGCGCCCGCCTCGATCTTGGCGAGCGCCGTTTCCGCGCTGTCGACACCGCCCACGCCGATCAGGGCGAGATCCGGCCCGGCGCGCTGGCGCGCTTTGGCCAGCACGATGGTCGAGCGCTCGAACAGGGGCGCGCCGGACAACCCGCCCGCCTCGCCCGGATCGTCGGAAATCCCGGCCCGCGACAGGGTCGTGTTGGAGACGATCATCCCGTCGATCGCCTTGTCGAGCACCTCGGCGACGATGTCGTCGAGATCGGCCTCGGTGATGTCCGGTGCGATCTTCAAAAGGACCGGCACGCGCCGGCCCGTCTCCTCGATCTGCCTCATGCGCGCTTCGCCGACGCGCGCCAGAAGATCGGCTAGCGCGCCGCGCGTCTGCAGATCGCGCAGTCCCGGCGTGTTGGGCGAGGAGATGTTGACCGTGAAATAGGCGGCGAGCGCATAGAACCGCTCGAGCCCGGCCACATAGTCGGCGGCCTTGTCGTCGGTATCCTTGTTGGCGCCGATATTGACGCCGACGATCCCCGTGTCGTGCCGCGCATCGAGCCGGTGCCAGGCCGCGCCGTGACCGTCATTGTTGAAGCCCAGCCGGTTGATGACGGCGCGGTCCCCGGTCAGCCGGAAGATGCGCGGTTTGGAGTTGCCCGGCTGGGCGCGCGGCGTCACCGTGCCGATCTCGGTAAAGCCGAAACCGAGCCTGAGAAGCGCGTCGGGCACCTCGGCATTCTTGTCGAACCCGGCGGCGACGCCGAGCGGATTGGGAAAGGCGACGCCCGCCATCGCAACGGCCAAACGCGGATCGGCATCGGCGGGGCGTGCGGGCAGCGATCCCGACTTCAGCCCCTTGATCGCCAGCCCGTGCGCCGTCTCCGGGTCGAAGCGGAACATCAGCCAGCGGCCGAGCCGGTCGGTCAGGCGATCGCGCATCACGCGTCCATTGGCGGGAAGATGTGCGCGCCGTCATCGCCCAGCGGCAGCTGTCGCACCCAGGCGACATGGGTCAGGTCGAGCGGCGCGTAAAGATGCGGAAACAGCGCCCCGCCGCGCGAGACTTCATGTCTGAGAGCCGCGCCCAGCGCTTCGGCGCGCACCGCGACCAGAAGGAGATCGTTTTGCCCGGCAAAGTGCTTGGCGGCGGTCTCCCGCGCCTGGTCGGCGGTCGAGAAATGAATGTAGCCGTCCGCCAGATCGATCGGCGCGCCGGCAAAGACACCATCGGCCTCGGCTTTGGCCCATTGCGCCCGCGTCGCGATCTTGTAGATGAGCGTGCCCATGCCGACCCTTTAGACCGGTCGCCGTGCCGGCGGAAGACCGGCTTGCGTTCCGCCGCGCCTTGTCCACCGGCCATCACAAATTCCGCGTAATGTCGTGGGAAACAAAGCGGCAAAGGGACATGCCGGCCGCGCACCGGCCAAGGAGGAACAGATGAGAGCAATGATCATCGGCGGCAGCCTTGCCGCCCTGACCGTCATGGCGGGGCCCGTGGCAGCCGACGCGGGCCGCTATGTGATGGAACCGACCGAGGACGGTTTCGTGCGCATGGACACCGAGACCGGCGAGATGTCGGTCTGCGCGCTTGAGGGCGACGAGGTGGTGTGCCGGCTGGGCGCCGACGAGCGCGCCGCCTTCTTCGATGCGCTGGACGCTCTCGAAGCGCGGGTCGCGGTACTTGAGCGGCGGCTCAATTCCGGCGCCGGATCGGCGATCGAGCGCGACGGCCTGCCCGATCCCGAGGAGTTCGAGCGCGGTCTTGGCTATATGGAAGAGTTCATGCGCCGCTTCATGGGCATCGTGGAGGAATTCGAGGGCGCACCCGACCGGACCTGACGCGATCAGTTCTCCGGCGGGGCGGCCAGCACCTGTTCGATGATTGCAAGCACTGCCGCGCTGTCGGACAGCGGCATCGCCGGATGGGCGGTCTCACCGCGGGCGATGGCCGCCTGCACGGCGGCGGCCTGGAAGTTCAGCCCGCGCGAGGGACGGGCGAAATCCATGACCGTACGGCCGGGCATGGGCAAACGCCGCGCCAGCTTCTCGCCCCATCCGCGCGGGTCCGGCGTGGTCTCGAGCGGCCTGTCCCACAACGTCAGCGACGGCCCCGACAGAAAATGCCGGTCGATCCGCAGCGTGCCCGTCTCGCCATAAACGATGAAATCGTTGCGCCCCTCCGCGGCCGGGTCCTCCACGAAACCGACCTTGGCGGTGAACGGCACGCTGCCGCAGGTCAGCGCCACCTCCGCCGCCCGGTCGACGCCGGTCGGCGCGGCCTGCCAGCGTCCTCGCTCAAGCGCGGGCGCCCCGAACAGGAACGTTGCAAGCGACAGCGGATAGACGCCCAGATCGTGCAGCACCCCGCCGCCGCGCGCCGGATCGAACAGGCGGTGCTCCGGATCGAATGGGCGGTGGAACAAGAGGCTGGCTTCGGCACGGCGCACGGTGCCGATCGCGCCATCGTCGATCAGCGCCTTGGCGCGCTGCACGGCCGGCAGGAACCGCGTCCAAAGCGCCTCCATGGCGAACACGCCGGCATTGCGCGCGGCGTCCTCGATGGTGCGCGCCTCGACCGAAGTCATCGCCACCGGCTTTTCGATCAGCACCGGCTTGCCCGCCGCGATGGCCCGAAGCGCCTGCGCGCAATGTTCGGTATGGGGCGAGGCGATATAGACCGCATCGACGGCGGGATCGGCGAGAAACGCGTCCGGATCGGCATGCGCCGATGCGAACCCGTGCTTGGCTGAAAAGGCCTGCGCGGTCTCCATCGACCGCGAGCACACCGCTGCGCGGCGCGCGCCCGGCACATGGTCGAGATCGGCGGCGAACTGCGCCGCAATGGCGCCGGTCGCCCAGATGCCCCAGCCAAAGCCTTCCCGTTTGGTGTCGTCGGTCTGTCCCGCCATGATCCGCCCGCCTGATTGGCCTATCGTGGCGCCAGTGTGCGGCAAACCGATCAACAATTCCCCAACGCCGGCGGCCGGCAAAAAAGCGTTTGGGCTCGTCTGGACAGCATCGTATTTGGTGCTATAACCCGCGCGTTCTGAGCGGGCCTCCGGCCCGGCCGATCCTGTGATCGCGAACGCCCGTGCCCGGGTAGCTCAGGGGTAGAGCAGCGGATTGAAAATCCGCGTGTCGGTGGTTCAAATCCGCCCCCGGGCACCATTTCTTCACCAGTCAGGAACCGTCCCGAAGTCCGTAACGGGCCGCGATCGTGCCGTGCTTGCCGCCGGCGCGTTAACCATTTGTCAACCATAAGCTTGAGCGCCGTCGCCAGAGCCGGCACTGTAAGACCGGCAGTGGGCATCGGGACGGTTCGCATGGCGGGGAACATCATCAGCCTGGATCGGGCGCGGCAGGACCGCGCAGCGACCCTCTCGCACGCGGTCTCGGTGGACGAGTTTGCCATCAAGGTTGCCTGCGCGCGCGATCCGATGTTCTGGGTCCGGGTCAAGCGGCCGCTGGGCGGCGATGTTCACGTCACCGATTTCCAGCGCGGCGCGCAAAGCCGCGCGGCTCTGGCCGATGGACTGATCGCGGCCCTTCAAGCCGCCGGTATCGCATTGCCCCGGCGCCTGCGCTTTTCCGACATCGCGCCCATGGGCGCATCCGATCCGCGGTTCCACGGCCGGCTCGCCGAAGCGATCGAGGATGTCCGGATTGCCGCCGATGCGGTCGCCCGCCGCCACGGGGCCGCCCTCCGCGGCCTCGACACCCGCCCAAGGGGCGGCAAGGTGGACGCCGAGGCCCTGTTCGCCGCCCACTGATGCCGCGCGGTCCGGCGCTTCAATCCGTCCCGGCACGCATCCGGTCAAGGTCGGCGACGGTATCGACATCGGCCAGCATGCCCGGCGGAGCCGCGACAAGACGGTCGGGCGGCAGGTCCGCAAGCAGCAAGGCCGCGCCGCGATCGCCCGACAGTTTCGTGAGCGCGTCGATCCGTGTGCCGCCGAAACAGGCGGGCGGCATGGCGCGCGTGCCGTCGGTCGCCGCCGATGGGCTGTCATCGGTGCAGCGGTTCAGCACCGCGCCCATCAGTGCGGCGTTCACCAGCGGCATGTCCGCCAGCACGACGAGCAGCCGTGTCGCGCCCAGTTGCATGGCGTGCCGGGCGCCGAGCGCCAGGCTCGCCGATTGCGGTGCGTCGGGCTCTTGGATCGTCAGCACGTCGAAATCCTCGAACAGCGCGGCGACCGCAGGGTCGGCGACCACGACCAGCCGGTGATCGAGCGGAACGGCAGCCATGGTTTCCGCCGCATGGGCGCCCAGCGGCCTGCCCCGGAACGATGCCAGGAGCTTGTTTTCGGTGCCGAACCGCGCCGACCGCCCGGCCGCCAGGACAAGGCCGCATCGGCTCATGCGGCGGCTTTGGCGACGGCCAGCACCTCGGCGAGAACCGAGACGGCGAGCGTGCGCGCATCGCGCGCCGAAGGCACCAGCCCGATCGGCCCGTGCAGGCGCTCGCGTGCCTCCGCCGCAACGCCCATCGCCTCGAGTTCGGCCAGGCGCGCATCGCGCGCCCGCTTGCTGCCCTGCGCGCCGATATAGAACGCATCGGTTTCGAGCGCGCTCTCAAGGATCGGCGGTTCCCAGTCGTGATCGTGAAAGAACAGGACCACCGACGACCAGCCGTCCGGCGAAACCCCCGATGGCACGCCCTTGGAGACCAGATGATGCGTGGCGCACCCCGCCGCGCGGCCCGCTTCGAGCGTTTCCTCGTCGGGCGACAGCAAAAGGTTGGGATAGCCTGCGGACTGGACCAGTCCGGCGAATGTGCTGGCTTCGGGCCCCTTGCCGAAGATGAAGAACTGCAGTTCGGGCTCGAACGTGATCGCGAACCGGCCCTTTTCGGACGCAATCGCATCCTCTTGCGCTTCGATCTGCCCGGTCTGGCGGTCGATGACGAGCGTTGCGGGCCGGCGCGCGTCGAGCGTTTCGATCATCCTCGCGAGCGCCTCCTTGTCGGGGCGCGGCACCAGCAGGATTTCAAGCCCGCCGCCGCAGGGAAGCTGAATGTCGATATAGGGCGAACCGCGTCCGTAGAGCACGGTCTTGGGCGTCCCGGTGTCGAGCGTTTCGGCGGCATGGAGCGCCAGATCGGATTCGATGCAGCCCGACGACAGCGTGCCGATACGCATGTCGTCCGCCAGGAACGCCATCACCGCGCCGACCGGGCGGTAGGAGGGGCCTTCGGTGCGGGTGATGACCGACAGAACGCCGTCCTCTTGCGCCGTCGCCAGTGCGGCCAGCGGCGCGCGGTTGGGCCCGAAATCGAGCGGCGGGACGGTTTGTGCGCGTGTCAGCATGATGCTGGCGATTGTATCGCTTTGCCATCGGGCGGCAAGGCGTTTGCGCCCTTGGCGCAATGGACAGGCGCCGGCATGCCCGCTAACTCTTGTGGTCATGATGGATGCCGCCAACACGACCGCCACGCCCGCGCCGGTCTCGATCGACGAGACGATCGCCCTTCTTGCCGGCGAGAACTATGTCTGCGGGCGCGGCCTTGCCACCGTCGCCTTCCTGTCGATGACGCTCGACAAGCCGCTCTTTCTTGAAGGCGAGGCCGGCGTCGGCAAGACCGAGATCGCCAAGGCGCTCGCCTCCGGCCTCGGCCGCCGGCTGATCCGCCTGCAATGCTATGAGGGTCTCGATGCCGCGTCGGCGATCTATGAGTGGAACTTCACGGCCCAGATGGTCGCCATCCGAACCGCCGAGGCCGCCGGCAACGCCGACCGCGACCTGTTGCAGCAGGAGCTGTTCACCGGCGACTTCCTGATCCGCCGGCCGCTTCTGGAAGCGATGGAGCCGCACGCCGAGGGCCCGCCCGTCCTGCTGATCGACGAGGTCGACCGCACGGACGAACCGTTCGAGGCGTTCCTGCTCGAAGCCCTGTCGGACTATCAGGTGACGATCCCGGAACTCGGCACGATCCGCGCGGACGAGCCGCCGCTGGTGATCCTGACCTCCAACCGGACGCGCGAGGTCCATGACGCGCTCAAGCGCCGCTGCCTTTATCACTGGGTCGATTATCCGGACTTCGAGCGCGAGATGGACATCCTGCGCGCCCGCGTGCCCGAAGCGACCGAAACCCTTTCGGCGGAGATCGTCGCCTTCGTCCAGGGTCTGCGCGGGGCGGACCTGTTCAAGAACCCCGGCGTCGCCGAGACCATCGACTGGGCCAAGTGCCTTGTCGCGCTCGACACGGTCGCTCTGTCGCCCGAGGTCATTTCCGACACGCTCGGGGCGATCCTCAAATATCAGGACGACATTGCCCGCATGGCCGGCTCCGAGGTCACGCGCATTCTCGACGAGGCGCGGGCGAAGCTCGCCGACACCGGCAGCTGATGGCCGGGGCGCCCTCCGCCGCAACGCCCGCCAAGGGCCGGCTGGCCGACAATATCGTTCATTTCGCCCGCGCCCTGCGCAAGGCCGGCGTGCCGGTGGGCACCAGCCAGGTCCGCGATGCGGTGCGCGCGGCGGCGGTCGCCGGCTTCTCCCGGCGCGACGATTTCTATCATCTTCTGCGCGCGACGCTGATCACCCGCGCCGAGCATCTGGACGTCTTCCACCAGGTGTTCACCATGTTCTGGCGCGATCCCGAATATCTCGAAAAGATGATCCGTCTCCTGTCGCCGATGATCCGGGGCGAGACCGAGGAGAAGAAGAAAAAGGCCGCCGAACGGCGCGCCTCCGAGGCGTTGGGCGATGCGCCCAAGGCATCTGCCGACGCGCCGGTGCGCACCGAGGTCGAGATCGACGCGCAACTGTCCTGGTCGGAAACCGAGACGCTGCGGGCGATGGATTTCGAGCAGATGAGCGCCACTGAGCTGGCGCGCGCGGCGCGCGCCATCGAGGCGATGCGCCTGCCCGTCCGCCCGGTTCGCACGCGGCGCGCGCGCCGTTCGCCGGTCGGAACCCGGCCCGATTTCCGCGCCACCATGCGCGGGTCGCTGCGCCGCGCCGGCGAGATCGAGCGGGTCGTCACCATCGTACCGCGCGAGCGGCCGCCGGACCTTGTCGCCCTGTGCGACATTTCCGGATCGATGAGCACCTATTCGCGGATGATGATGCATTTCCTGCACGCGTTGACTTGGGCGCGGGTGCGCGACTGGCGCCATGTCCACGCCTTCACCTTCGGCACGCAGCTGACCAACATCACCCGCGCGCTTCACCTCAAAGACCCCGACCGGGCGCTGGCGGCGGTCGGTCACGATGCGACGGACTGGGAGGGCGGCACGCGCATCGGCGCGGCGATCGAGAGCTTCAACCGGGACTGGTCGCGCCGCGTGCTCGGCCAGGGCGCCGTGGTTCTTTTGATCACCGACGGGCTGGAGCGCGGCGACGCCGACCTGCTCTCGGCCCAGATGGAGCGGCTGCACCTGTCGTGCCGGCAGCTCATCTGGCTGAACCCGCTCCTGCGCTATGACGGGTTCGCGCCGCTCGCCGGCGGCATCCGCGCGATGATGCCCCATGTCGACCGGTTCCATGCCTGCCATTCGCTCGACAGCCTGGCCGATCTGACGCGCGCACTGACCGAAGGCCGGCAGGATATGCGCGCCGCGTGAGACCGCATCGAAAAAGCGCAATCCGCGACATTAGAATGAGTTGCATTCCAAATTGGGCCGCGCCATCATCGAAGGACAACAACGACAAGCATTCACCGGAGGAGCGTCATGGACATGACGGGTGAATACCAGATTGCCGCCCCGCGGGCGGCTGTCTGGCAGGCACTGAACGATCCCGACGTGCTGCGCGCATGCATTCCCGGCTGTGAAGAGCTGGAGATGACCTCCGACACGACCATGACCGCCAAGGTCGTCCAGAAGATCGGCCCCGTGAAGGCGAAGTTCGCCGGCGAGGTCGAACTGGTCAACATCATCGTCGAGGAAAGCTACACCATTCAGGG